TGGATCCGCCCCAGCTCCAGCCCCAGCGGCCCCCCGCCGCCGCCGCCGCCCGGGGAGGAGAGCGCGGCCCTGGCGCCCCCGGCCCCCGCCATCAGCCCGCTGCAGCCGCCCAGACTCCGCAGCCGCGGGGCGGGACCGCGCGGGGAGCTGCTGCCGCCCCGGGACCCCCCCCCGCCTCCGCCCCCGCCCCCGCCCCGCCCCCTCCCTCACTCCCCCGCCCCGCTCCCTCCCCATGCACCCCCTTACACACCGACATCCTCCCTCCACACCCACGTGCCCCCATCTTCCGTTTTACCCCTCGCATCCTCCTACCCCCCCTGCACCCGCATCCATCCAGCCCCTGTCTGCACACCCCGTGCCATGCACACGCACACAGACACACTCATCCCCCCCCCCAAACACACGCATACCATAAACCTACACGCCTCAAAAATCATCCCTGGCCAGCGCAGGGTCCCAGTCATTTCAGTGACCCTGTACTATAGATCTGTCAGTCGCTAATAATAAATCAAGATGATGCTTTGCTTTGTTTGTCAGTATTTCTGGGAGAGCTCCACCCAAAGCCATTCTTAGCGTTTGGGGTGAGCCTACAATACAAGTCTTTGCCACAGTTCAAAGGTGCAGGAGGACTCCTGGTGATTATGATCACAAACACAGGGCCAGCCAGAGGGTTTGGGGAAAGGTTAGTGTGCTTATTCATTGGTGTATATCCCAAATTGAACTGGCTCTTTCACTCGCTTCCTCCATCCCACCAAAGCTTTAGTCTGAGTGTGTGCATGTGTGCGAGTGCCCTCTTCTTCCACAACTGTCTTTGCACTTTTTTCCATGCTGCCCATTAGGCATGGATAGGGCCCTACCAAATTCACAACCATGAAAAATGCGTCAAGGACTATGAAATCTGGTCTTTTGTGTGCTTTTACAGATTTCATAGGGGAGACCAGCGTTTCTCAAATTAGGGGTCCTGACTCAAAAGGGAGTTGCAGGGGGTCACAAGGTTATTTTAGGGGGGTCACGGTATTGCCACCCTTACTTCTGTGCTAACTTCAGAGCTGGGCGGCTGGAGAGTGGCGGCTGTGGGCCAGGCAATCACCTCTAAAGGCAGCACCATACCATGCCACCCTTACTTCTGCACTGCTGCTGGCGGTGGCTCTGCCTTCAGAGCTGGGCTCCTGGCCAACTGCTGCTCTCCACCTGCCCAGCTCTGAAGGCAGCGCTGCTGTCAGCAGCAGCACAGAAGTAAGGGTAGCAGTACCACAACTGCCCCTACAGTAACCTTACGACCCCCCGCCTTCCACAACTCCTTTTTGGGTCAGGACCCCTACAATTACAATACCATGAAATTTCAGATTTAAATAGCTGAAATCATGAAATTTACAATTTTTAAAATCCTGTGACCATGAAATTGACCAAGATGGCCCCATGAATTTGGTAGGGCCCTATGCATGGAACACCCTTGCTAAACAAATCTCTCTTCACAACTCATTTCTATGGTGATGCCTACAAAAAATGAGCCAAGTGAGGGAGTAGTTAATATGTAACTGACACCATTGTCGCTGTGAGTGGTGTTACACAGTGGCTGCATGCTATGTGCACCACCTGTGTGGAAGCAAGCACTGTAAGCACGCTGAGCCCTAAGTTCTATAGGATCTACCTCTCGGTGACTTCCCATAAACACTATCATACTTTGTGTAACTGAGGACTCTTTTACTTGGGCTGCTAGAGTCAAAAGATGCAAATATCCTAGGCCAAACTGTTAAATGACTCCCCAGCCCAGCCCTTAGGGTTACGAAGGCCGTCCAAGCCAGGATTATGAAGGTAGCAGAGTGTCATTGTAAACCCTGTGCACTGTCCCAGTATTGCCTTGGCCTCCTGCAGCAAATGCCAAAATCACCTTATTCAGTTATAGTGGGCAACACTAATTGCCTCACACATTGTGGATAGGGACAGGGAGTTCAAAAATCAAAACACTGGCTAAAAACCCAACCTAAGATTTTCTTAGAAAAAAACTCATGATATTTTGGGGTTCTGACCTGTGGGGTTGGCAATACTGCTGTGGTCCTGCCTACAGTTGGCTGCTATTAGCTACCTGCCAAGAACAAGAGCTCGACCTGCCTCTTTGCCACTTGTTGCCAGCTGTGTCTCCTGTTCTGGCTCTCAGGAAGCCTGTGGCTCTGTCCCAAGCATAATAATCCCCTTTGATCTGAGAATATTATTTCCTTTTTCCTGCAGACTGGCGATTCAACAGGGCAACACAGTGCTCTTCGGTCTCCACTGCTTTCCCCCCAGCTTAGCAGAGAGCAAGGGGGGGGGAATTCTAGTAATGAGCCAGCAGGTTCATTAATTACAGGTCTTTATAGTAAAAACAAAAATTTTGGTGAGCATAGTTCCTATGCTTTTGCCTTTTATTATAAATTTTCCCCCTTCTCCGCCATTCTTCATTTGTTGTTTTTATTTTAGACTTTGTTTCTCTAGACCAGTGGTCTCCAACCTTTTTACACACAGGATCACTTTTTGAATTTAAGGGCAACCCAGGATCTATCCCACCCCTTCCCCAAGGCCCCGCCCTGCTCATTCCACACACCCCCCCCCCCGTCACTCACTGTCCCCCATCCTCACTCACTTTCACCAGGCTGGGGCAGGGGATTGGGGTGCGGGAGGGGGTGCAGGCTCTGGGCTGGGGCTGAGGGGTTCGGAGTGTGGGAGGGGACTCCAGGCCGAGCCTGGGGCAGGGGTGCAGGAGGGGGTCAAGCTGTGAGAGGGAGTTTGGGTGCAGGAGGGGGCTCCAGGCTGGGACAGAAGGGCTTCCGGGAGCAGCACATGGCCAGGGCAGGCAAGGAGCCTGCCTTAGCCCCGTTGCACCGCTGGACTTTTAGCGGCCGGTGATCGTGATAGACTGGCAGAGACTCCAGGGTCAATCAGTTGATCATGATCAACCAGTTGGTGACCTCGGCTCTAGACTATGATTTAAAGGTTTTAGAACATGTAGAGAATGTCATTTTCTTGTCACAGAGCAAATATTCCTTATGGACACAAATTCTTTTAGCAGTTGATTAAATGTACTCCATACTGGATTAAATTTACTCATTCTGTACTTTTTTCAAAACTGAGATTCAACACAGAAGTAATTTTCACTGTATTGTTATTGGCAAGACATGCACATAACAGAAATTAACATTTTTTTAGCTTTAGAATCATGCCACTAGAGGTAAAACTTGCAAGCTACTGACTTAGTTAAAAAATTCAAATACTTGTCAGACTTTTAAGTTTAAAATGTGAAATGCAAAACAAAACCAAGGCCCCTTTTGAAATCATTTACAGACTCACTAAAGTGCAAATTTAGTGCAGCCTCATGGAGAGTTTTTAGAATCCAAAAATATCTTCTGTCTTTCATATTCTGTCCTGGTTTAGCAGTTGTTACAAAGCAAAAATATGTTGGATTGTTTTTTAATGTCTGCTGAGTACAAAAGGAAAATACTAGTATGTGGATCCATAATGTGAATTTTACAGAGTCCTTGTTTAAATAGGGACAGTTTGAGAAAAATCTTTGGGGGAACACATTTGTTTGTTTGCGTTACTAGGTAACATTACACATGACAAACTCCTTTTTGGATTTCTATCGGGAGGTGGAGACTGCCAATCACTGTCTTGGGTGGGATTAACACTGGAGTAACTCACTACTTTGGCAACTGAAATGCCTCAGTTTAGTATGCAAGACCAAAAAAGTAGAAATGGTAGTTTAAATATAGAAGGGATAGACAGAAGGCAAGAGCTTGTTTCTGCTCCCACTGAAGAAGATGAAAGTTTTTGATAGTGCATTCTTTGGGAGCAGAACTGGGCCCATAGTGGGCAGCACAGTATTTAATTTTAACTATATGTTAAATAATATTTTGAGGGTACTGTTAAATTATTTTGCAGTCAATTTGTGTGTGTGTTGTGGGGACTGGGGATAGATCTGAAGTCGTGACATTAGCAGCCAATGTGAGTGTAAATAAATAGTGATGGTAGGATTCCATTCCAATTTGTTGCTAAAGTAATGATAACTCTTTGTGATAATGGAAGAAGTCCCTGTTAATTTTGAATGCATTTGTATACTCCTAAAACTTGTGTGACTAAATAGTGTTCATATTTTAGGAAATTAAAGTGGTAACGTTCATCGAAACAGATAGCTCATTTTTTCTGAGCAAGAATTGATGAGATCAGTATGATGTGTAGTCTCCATTAATTACATTGACACTTAATACAGATGTACAGGGTTTTGTAGTTTTATTGAACTTACAAAATACAACAAAATATACACTGGAATTCTAAAACCATTAAAGTACAGTATCATAACAGGTAACATTCGCTCTGTGTGTAAAACTATATTTGTCTTGCCTCTCTATATTTTTCTTCATAACAGAATCACAATCAAATAGCACAGTAAAATATGCAGTAGAAGGGCTTACATTTCTGTAATGGAAAGGAGAGCTAATACTGCATACTTGAGTTTGCCTGGTTAATAAAGCTGCCACTAACCACTGCTACAGCTAGAGATCAAAATCACAATGTGTTTAAATTTGCAAACAATTCTGGAAATGAATCTGTTTCCCCTCCCCCCACCCCCCTTTTTTTTTTTCTGTTTTAAAGAGTGACTTCATTGTCTTCAATGCTTTTATGGTCTTGAGTGTCTTCAGTGCTCTCAGAAGTTTGATTGCTATCATTGACTTCAGGGATACCATCAACCTGTTGTAGGTCCTCAATTGGGGCCTGCTGCTGTTCTGTGCTTTCATTGCTCATGTGACTGTCTTCTGTGACATCAGGTTTGCTGTTGTCGCTGTCTGCCTCCACACTGTCAAGCTGCTGTTGGCTGTCGTTTTCCTTGCGCTTATCGCGTGACCTGCTGTTGACTTCATTGCTGTCCTGCATGTTACTTTTGTCATCCAGTTCCAGGCTAATGTCAGATTTCCCTGGAAAGCGGTGTACAGCAGGTTGGGCTTTGAAGGAATCCACCTGCTGGCTTTCTGTGTCTGGTTTGCTGTCATCCTCCTCTGAGACCTCATGTATGACGAACTGTGCCAAACAAAGGTAAAGCATAATTAATAGGCATCCTAGATTATGAAGAGCCAATGAATCACTAAACACTACAATATTCCACTGAAACAGGGTATGCCTTTTGAGTTCAGGTGATCTTCAAGACCTATAGGTTATTGGAGGAAGGGCACGAGATAGGAGGGGGAGCAGGGGAGGTATTGAGACTTGGCTGAGAGCAGCCTGCTCCAGGCTGGGAAGGAGGGTCAGGGGGGTTCCTACCTGCTCATTCCACCCCTCCCTGTCCCATTTCCTGCTCCCCAGCCTGATTCCAGGCCCTGAGATAGCTACTCCAGCCCCTCTTCCTCCTGCTTTCGCTGCTGCACCCTCCACCCACAAGATGTGCACAAGTTTAGGCAGTGGTCAAGCTCCCGAAATATTTCCATTGCGAGGTCCTGGTTCCACCTCCCCTGAGGTTATCCATGTTCTGCAAAGCACTGTATACATTTACAGAGCTATAACAAATGTTTTATAGTGCTGTACGAAACATCAGTTCAGTACTGGCCTCAGGTCTCACACATGATTATACCATGAGACTGCTGGCCACCTGGAACAGTGGGACTATTTTTCTGTCTCAGTGCATATAGGAATTATAATACTTACTAACTTTAATGAGTTATGTATCCATAACAAGTGGAAATACACCCCTCTAATTTTGCCTGTGACTTGTCAATCTCCTCCACAGCTAATGCCCACAAAGAAATTTCCGTTTTGAACATCCTCCTCCTTTTATGGTAACCCGAGAACCATTGACACATGGTATTTACCTTTCCTGCAGCTTTGTAGAGCTTGCTAGACTTCTCCTTATGGTATACGTCTGCCAACTTTGCTTTTGCCCTCATTCTATAGGCCACGCTGTCTCCTCTGCCTGAATTATCTCCCCTTGTGGGGAGGGCAGGAGTTAAAGGTGTAGTTACTGGGGCATCAGTGGGAAAATCGGTGACAATATCCTCATCTGATTCATCTGTGTCATTGGAATCGTTATCATCATGATCACCATCATCTTCATTACTTACACTTGCTGGCTCAGGAAGGCTCTGAAAAGCATAGAAACAATTTAATAGTGCAGCATGCAAGTGCATTGTTATAGATGTGAGGTTAATATTATTACAGTGTCTCTCTGCGGCTCTCTCAAAGCGTATTACACTGTTTGCACATTCTAAAGCTGAGGCAGGCGGATAAGATCCTACCATGGCATGGCAAACGTGGTAGCAGCTCCAGGTTACTCCCATGATGAGACACATTCCTTGAGCAAAGAGGGCAGAGCCAGGTAGGAAAGCGGGTGCTAATCAGGCAGAATGTAGCAGTATCTTAGAAATGAACTGGTGGCTTGGTGCACTGGTGGAGAAGTGTGTGTGAGCAGGGAATGGGGGGGATCAGCAACTCTGTGGTGTTCCCTCCTATGCTCCTAGAATGCATGGGTGCTGTGGCTCTGGGGACACAGGATCCAGAAAAGGAGAGAACAGCCCTCTGTAGCATGCTCCCTTGAGTTCTGGGTGGATTTCCTTGTAACAATTTGTCCAGAAGTTACTTCTGGTTGGCCCAGCAGTAACTTTTCCACAGCTACAGACACTCCTCGAGGGGATTTCAGCAAACACTTCTACTCCTTCCAGATAGAACAAGCCCGGGGAAACTACACAAGTAGATGTTTGCAGAGTTTCCTAATCCCTTTGTGGAGGCAGGGGATAGCATGTATCCTAAGTTTTGTCCTTCAGGTTTATGTATGTTTTTGTAGGTTTGTTCATTAATTGAGGTTTTGTCATAAACGGTTTCACTACAGATGCAGAATTTGTTTAGAGGCTGACGTCCATCAAATACGCACTTGTGGATCCCTCTTGTTTAACACTATGTAGAATTTTTTGGGATCTACTGTGCTGATTTCTTCAATATAATTAGTTATTCAGATCCCATTCTCCCACCGCTTCAGTGGGAGCTAATTACATTTTGCAGCAGGAGCAGAGAGCCCCAGGTTCTGTAAACTGCGGTGCAAATTATAGAAATCTGGTTGCTGTATATTTTATTGATCCTGCTAGGAGTTTTGTTTTATTTAGGAACAGATGTCAGAGGAACTACTTTGGAAGAGAATGTTGTTAGAAAAAATAGATATTGGGATATGATTGCTGCTGTGCTGTATACAATAAGGCTTGAGGTATAAATGAAGACTTACCTGCTGCTCGGTGTCAACACTTTCATCTGAAGAAAAACAGTCCTGAAAAAGAATATGAAAAGGAAATGTAACTGTGGAGAAACATACCTAATACAGCTGGCAAAAAAAATTATGACAATTTTCACACAAAAATTGTGGAAACAATTCAAATTTTTTTGACTTTTGAGAAATTTTGACCAGCTGGTCTAAAAATGGCAACAACAAGAATTGTGACACATTTTTGGAGGAAACTAGAAAAATTTCCACCTGCTCTAATTTTAACCTTCTTCTAGATCTGTTATTCTGGGAGATGATAGAAGTTCCACACTTGCTATAGTTACCATTGTGGCTATCACTAAGGCTCTTATATGCTACCTTTCTTACTGTACAAAATTTTCCTACCAAAGCAGGGTTTCTATAAATTTCTCTTCTAACCATTTCTGCAGGTAGCTATCTAGTGTGGCTTTAGATACCTGCTGAGGTGGTACCAGAAGTTCTTGTGTTTGTGCTGGTCTCACACGTGATTGTGTATGCACATGCTGGTGGTGATCTCTGTGAGAATGATGGCTCCTGGAATCCTGGAAATAATAATAAGAACCAAGGTCACAATTCAAGATGAAACAGATCAGAGCATATGACTTGAGGAGAACACAAATGGTGAAGCTGCTTTTCATGCAGATATGGCATGTGAAATACCTGCTCTCTTTGTATCTATTTGCTTTTAATCATTTACTAAGATGGGAATAAAGTGCAGAAGAAGTCAACAATCCAAATATACATGTATATGTGAAAGGACACAATATTAGAGGTGTGCCTGTACCAAACTCCTGGAGGTAAACATTCCTGAACCTTGTGAAAGTTCAGATCAGAATTTTGCAGCTGGTTCCTGTGTCAGTAATAATCAGAACACTCTCTCCTCCTCCACCCCCAGAACCAAACACTTCCTAGTTTTGGGGAAGTTTGGATTTGGATCCAAATGTTGTGGGTTGCACCACTCTCTACATAAAATACATATAATCAAACAAGGGGCTTAATTCTCCTCTCATTTACACTGGCATAAATCAAAGTAACTCCACTGAAGTCAATGTAAATGTGAGGAGAATCAGGTCCAGTGCATTTATTAGCTTACTCATTCCAACCCTGCAGGCAGGCTATCACTCTTTCAGTTACTAGTCTGAGCCTGTACTGGCGTGTGACCTGATTACCTGTGGTTACTAGGCAATCGTGGTATGTGAGGCACAAGGGTTAAGCATTAACTGGCACCTGGACCAATTTTGTCATTTATTTTCTAAAGAAATAAACAGAAGAGTCCCTTGCCCAGACAGGATGCTTTCTCTCTCAAGGTAAGAAATGAGAATGTCATTGACTGATATAGCTCTAAATAAGGAGCTGGGTGGTGCTACAATGCCCCAGCGTGATCATTAGGAGGCACAATCTCCTTCAGGATATGTCTACACAGCAAAGAAACACCTGCAGCTGGCCCATGCCAGGGCTCACAGGGCTTGAGCTGAAGGGCTGTTTCATTGCAGTGTCGACATTCGGGCTCAGGCTGGAGCTCGGGGACCCAGGGGGCAGGATGAGCATGCTTTCTGCCACACCTCTTAAGGGGTGCCACATACTCCCCATTGGGCACCTGCGGAGCTGCGTGGAGGGAGAGAAATTATGTCCCCACTTCCTCATTACCACTCTGTGCTCATTTGGGGTGGCCAATGCTTCAGATGCAGTAGGAGGGAGCCCTTACTATGCCCCGGCTTCTTCCCCTCCTTGAACACCTCGGCTGTGGCTAGTCATTTTCTGGACTGTCGGAGCCCAACTCTCTCTTGACTAACATATCTGGTAGAGTCTCAGTGACTTCACTGGGGCGGCACAGAGTATAAGGGCAAAGTGTGGTGTGTGCTTGTTAAATCAGCAGTATGTGATTTAGAACTATTTGACAAATACATGCAGCACACACATCCAAATGCGCCATAAATTAACCTTTCCTTTGACACTATCCTATGTTGTGCAGAGCACCTCCTGGCAGGTGCTGAGTGCCTTCAAATCCATTCGAGCTGAGGAGGTGGAGTACTCCACAGGATCAGGCCTTTGGATATTGGGCTGTTGTATACATTTACCAGAGTGTTCTGTCCATGCATTTAATGTGGATCTATCTATTTTTGAATATGAAACTCACTCTTAAATACACTGTGACTTTTGCAAAATATTCTGCAATACATTTAATAGCATACCGTGGAGTAGTGCATCTATAAATATACAAGTGAAACTTATCAAAACAAGTTTGTTTTATAATGAGGTGTCCTTGATTATAAAACTCATTAGTTCCACTTCTATGGTAACTTGCGAGATTTTGGGGTGAGCTTACAGCACCAGATTCTGATACCCTTATTGACCCTGAGTCGTACCATACCCTGAGAACAGTCTCATTGAAATTAATGGGTCCATTCATGGAGTAAGGTGCTACTCAAGATGAATAAAAGTATCAGAATCTGGCCCACAGTGATTGGTGTGAATCATTAAGACTATGCCATACTGTAACTCCTTTTTTTAAAAAAAAGAGTTTGAGTTTAAAAGTTTGTGATTAAACAAATGGATCTATAAAGATACGCAAGGGCACGTCTTTTAAAGGTATTAGGCCAGATACCCAGATGCTGTAAATTGGCATAGTTCCACAGAAGTCAATGAAGCTACACTGATTTACACTAGATGAAAATCTGGCCATAAAATTCAAGTTAGGTAAAGTTTTGTGAACAACTATAGTTACAATGAATCAGAAAGTGCAATTTAACATCGCTGAGGTGGTGACGATTAAATAAGACGTAAATGAATGATAGAGAAGTTGGATTGTAAAAAGAGCTTACATGGTTTTCTTCAGAGCTCTCTGAGATGGAATGATGCTTCAATTTACTCACCTTGAGGGGAGAAGAGAGGAAAGAAATTTTCAGTATACATTCACTGTTAATATATGAAGGAAATATACAACTTTTTGCTTGTTCTTACATGTCTGATATACTTACTGGTAATGCAAAGGTGATGCTGATGAGGCACAAACAAAGCACTGCAATCTTCATTGTGATATTTTACCTGGAAAAGATATTGTAACTGTGAGTTTACAATACCAAAAAATTGCAAGCATACTATAGGCTTTTTGTTTCTCTCTTTGTGTTCCACTGTGCTCAGCTGAAGTTTCCGCTGAGGATTCAACCTCTCCATGCCAACCTTTCTCTCTCTGTCTCTACACCTCTGCAGCTAATCAGAGGAGGGGAGCAGAATCTCAATAATCCCACGCCAGAAGAATTAGCTGTGTAGATTTTTAAATTCACTACTGAGTCTCTGCTCAAGTGTTACAAGAATTTTAAACCTGACACTTCAAAGTGCTAAGCTAGGAGCTGAGGATGTTCAGTCCCTCACAAAATATAGTCCTGCGATCTGATGATTTGAGCTAATGGGTGGAAAGCTTTAGGAATAAAAGAAAAATGCTGATAAAGGACCAATTTAGTTTCATATAAACAGAGAAAGCAAGAAAAAATATTTTTTTTGTCTCCCTTACAGTTAGTATAAATCTAGTTTTCAGAACATAATTTGAATTAAAGTTGCAATAAAATAAATACAAAAATCAATTCATAGGAACAAAAGCTGCTTTTTGGTAGATCAAGTCTTTCCAGAAACTTGAAGCCAAGAGGCCATGTATCTGATTAGGTATTGAAGGGCAAATTAAAAAACAAAACAGAACACCAAACCAAACCAAAAAATGAAAAACCCCATGCAGAGTCTATGAGAAAAGGAAATTTGAGACAGAGATATTTGCTTTTAGGGAAGGAATACATTAGGTGTCCCTAAATCTCTGACTGCCAGAAGGTGGGACTGGACAACAGGGGATGGATCACTCAATAAATTGTCCTGTTTTGTTCATTCCCTCTGAAGTATCTGGCACACCCCACTGTCAGAAGACAGTATACTGGGTGAGATGAACCATTGGTCTGATCCTCTATGACTGTTCTTATGTTCTAAAGAATGCATTAAACAGATACTGTACTAGAAGTAATTAAATTTCAATTGTTATAAAAGAAAAGTAAAATATCCCATCCAGGGTGCTCATTCAAAGCCCTGCAAGTCTGCCAGAAGAGAGTGGCATGTGATGTGACAATGATTACATTTTGGCAGTACACTCTTTTGTTTTCAAGTGGCAGCTTCAAATTTCTAGCACTTGAGTCAGTGGCAGGAATTTAAACCACCTCCTTCCTCCATCCCTAAATGTACAAACAAACAGATCTAAAACGATAATTTAACATAGTGTGCTGCAGCCCTCTTTAAGACAACTTTACTGCTCTGAAGGCTCACCCTTCAACAGAGGAATTAGAATGTTTTTAATGCTGAACTAAAAGCTAGACTATTTAAAACTCTATTGCCTGAGGTTCACATGAATAAAAACTTAATGCAGCCCCAAATGTTAGGTAGTGAAATGTGCATTTACCTTTCTTGGTGTCTGGATCAGAAGGGTAGAATCTAAATTGTTGTTAGCTTTCACTGTGCAGCAGTTCAAGCCAATTTGCTCTGAAAGGATTCAGACTTCCTTCTCTCTCCTCTTCTACTGCTTGACATCTGCAACCTTCTGGAATTTAAATGCTGTTCCAGACATCAGCCAGCCAATCCCCTGGAGGTGGAAAGGATGAGGTCATGAGGTTTCTTGCCACAGTCCTGCCCACATTCTCCTACACTTCCTCTTTGGTTTTGTGGCTTTCAAAGCAAACAAAAGCTACTCTATGGTTAAAACGTTACTTATGTTCAATATCATTAACCAGTTAGAATACACAGCATTCAGTATCACGTAGGAGGACTTCAGGGAACATATGTGTTCTGCTTTTGTTTAAGGTAGAATCAACAGTTGTCCAGAAGTCTTTCATTCCTCCTTCCAAGCTTGGAAGACAAAAGCTCTTAGTTAATGTGTCACAGAGGATAAAAATCTGCCCTTAAAAAAGAATGGGTAAAATTCTACTCTCAGTGATGTGTGTGTGTTACCCAGTTGGTTTCAATAGGATTGCACATTGGGCACTGGGAGCAGAACATGGCCCACTAGCTTTTGCATATAAATGATAGGGATGTTGATTTTTATGCAAATCTCCCAGCTGGTGTTCTGCTTCCAGAAAGTTGACAAGCAGGGTTGGCCCTAGAGTCACTGGAGCCCTAGGTAAAAAAAAGGTTTTGCCCTATCTCCCATATTTCTCCCGGTTCTCTTCCAGCTACTCCTCTGGATCCTTCCCAGTTTCATTTCTGCCTTCAAGGATGTTTCCTGATGTCAATTCAATCATTTACATTGGGTACCTTTGGTGCCAAATACACTACAGAGTACTTTGATGTAGTTAAGTTTTAAAGCAGGTGCAGTCGGATTCTTGGACATGTTTAGGACTAAACATCCACCCACTGCTCAAGAGTGAACTATAACAGGGGTGGCCTTTAGAAGTGAGGGACAGTATGGATTGAAACTCCATAGTTATAAAAGAGTGATGTGGTACAAGCCAGTTAATGGTCTCAATACTATTCCAGCAAAGTCTTCCTTAAATGTATTGCCCTAGACAGACCATGCTTAGTTTGTTGGGTGTTGAAGAATCACTAAGTATCCACCTTGATTTCCTTAACACAATAACTAACTTTAATTTGAGACAGAAAGAAAAGTCCAAGTAGTATTTTAGAAAGCAAAACAGCATTCTAATTTCTAACCTGTTGGGAAAGGGGCATCTTTCTCTTTATCTCTGATCTCAGACAAAGCCAGATTGGATAATTAAACATAGGTGCATACTAGAACATCAGTTGTGACAAGGTACCATCTTTTGTCTGTTACCAAGCACTTCTAGTTAATAGGAATTTAGCAGGTACCCATTATTCTTATCTAGTTAGCCCACGTACAGCAGACTGGAGATAATGAACTCTTCTGTCGGATGATTAGAAATACTGTGCAAAGCACAGCTTGAACATCAGGGAGGGATTTTCAAAAATACTCAGCACTAGCCTAACCCTAATCATTGACCTTAGTAGGAGAAAAGTTAGATCAATGCAGAGAGCTTTTGAAAATCCCACACCTAATTTATGCATATGGCTGCTGCTGATAGCAATATATGGACCTTCAGAATATTGCTGTAGATTCCTAATTGACAAGTATGTTGTGAAAATTAATTCTTGTTTGTAAAGTGCTTTGATACCCATGGAGGAAAGATGCATTATAAGTGTGACCTAAGTGTTACCTGAGTAATAGTTCTAAAAGTGTATACTCAAACTCTGAACATATATGTCTAGAATGAATAATTTAAACACTTAGTAAGACTCTCCACTTTTGAAGTCAAGTTGCTGTAGTTTATTACTAATGTTTTCAATTCTGTGCATTCAGGAACTCTTTAGTTGAAGTACCTAAAAATTTAAATGAAGGATTACACATAAAAAAGAAATAAAGGGAACTATATTGTTTAGTTCGAGATTTTCAAAAATAGGCGTCTAAAGTTAGGCTCTGAGTAGCCTGGTTTTCAAAAATGCTGATCACTTTGTGTCTCCCAGTGATTTGGGACTTTTGAAAACCAGCCCAGTTATTTAGGTATTTAAGTGTGGATTTAGGAGTCGAACTTTAGATACCCATTTTTGAAAGTTTCGGCCTGAATATTAATTAATAGTGAAGCTGGAAAAACTAGGTATTTATAAATATTAATTAATATTTCTTTGCACTTAGGGACTGGTCCAAAGGCCACTGAGGTCAATAGAAATACTCCCATTGACTTCATTGGACCTTTAGTGGGTCAGGCCCTTAAATAGCATAGCACCTTTAGTCCAAGAATATCAAAACTCTCTACAAATTATTCTCACGATCCCCCTGGAAGGCAAGTATTATCTCTATTTGAACAGAACGAGAAACTGAGGCACAGAGAGATTAAATGACTTGCACATAATGCAGAGCAAATCAATATGTAATCCTGTTTTAACCACTAGTAACCACTGCCTTCCATACTGAGCTCAGTGAAACCCACATTTTCTAGTTCATCCATTAATGAAGCACTGGAGAAACAAATACTACATTGCACAGAAAAAATAAATCATGACGTTTTGTTCTTCAAAACTGAAGTTTTCCCCTTTGTGAGAACCAATCTTTGACCTAAGGGGTACCACATTATTATGCAAATTGCTTCAATATCTGTAAGAGCACAAACTAACTTTAAACCTGCTAAACACATTTTTACTTTGGTGATTATGAATTATTTATTTCTCTGAAAGATCTGCCCTAGGAATGATTCTGGGGAAGTTATCTGGCCTGTGCTATGTGGGAGGGCAGACCAGATCATCACAGTGGTCCCTTCTGGCCTTGGCATCTATGAATTTCACAAGCACATCAGCATAAATTGGTTGGTGGAGCTCAGATACTTTACAAATTTATTCACACTGTAGTTTATTCAGTAACCAGCCATTTGAATAAATGACAATTTGGTTACTTATAGGTAATGATTTCTGGGGTATTTGTTAGAACACCATCTTCCAAGGGTTAACCCTATGATCCCTAATAGGGTATTCATAGTAAGTAGGTTATATTTCCAAACTACCACTAGATGGCAGTGCTTCTGAACACTGCTGTGACGGCTGAACATGCAGCCTGTTTCTGTTGTTTATGCAGATACTCCGGGTTATAGAAGTATTGATTTCGTAAGAGCTAAAGATCAACAGTGATGTTTTGCTGTAATCCAGGGACAGGACATAAAGTGACTGTCAGTAAACTGCTATATTTTCATGCAAAATCAGCTTATGTAAACCTGTATTAAATTTAGCATTTGTCTCATGTCTGTCAGTTGTGGTTACCCATCAGCAAGAAACAGTACAGTAATACCAAAGGTCTCCCTCCTCCGGATGGTGCTGCCCAGCTGAGAACTCCTATATGCTGTGTAGTAGGTGAGGTGCTTACTGAAAGCAGAAGCAAACTGGCTGCTAGAATGGAATGGAAGGATCAGTTTGCTATTTTTATTTACCATTTTAAAATGCTTAAATCTGGAGAGCATGAGTCAGAATATACAGGGGCAACATAAATAGCTCTCTGGAATCTGCATATGGTGGAGTTTCCACAAAGTAACTGGAAATGTGCAAAATGCAGTTGCATGGAGATGTAATTAATTGCATGCAGGCAAGATCTGCTATTCGCTTGTCTTGACACATGATCTTTTAACAACACTTAGTTCCATTTTGGATAACATCCGGAATGAGGTGTTAGACTGCTAAAGCGTGGTTATTTTTCATTGTAGAAATCCACTATCAATGCTTCTATATGCAACCTGCTATCTTTTTTTTAAAACCATGAACTAGGTCTTCAATACAGTGACAGGAGCTGACAATAGTTCCTCTGGCCTATGTGGGAAATTCCAATCTGCCTATAGATGTGGCCATTATCCGTTTCCCTCACTCCCACCCCCACTATCTTCCTCTCTCCTTCCGTATAATGACTTCCTTCTTTTGATGGAGTATTTCCCATCAGAACTCTGTCTTACATGGGTTATCTGATACTGTATTGTGCAGATGATCTGGCTATGTCTTGAGTAGTAATCTGTGTTAGCATCAATGTCATTCTTTTTTATATACCATAAACTAGACACGAGCCTGAACCAAAACCTGAGAGCCAAATACACCCAGACACTGGGTAGGTTTAGATCTAGATCTTGAGCTGAACTTTTCATCTTGAGCCCATCTCTCCTTGGGGTGGTTTATATGTACTATTTATGGAAGCAACAACATGTGGTTGTTTAGTGGAAGTCATTTGGGGTCATAGTGGAAGTAGGTTTGGGGTCACTTTGCAGTGGTCACTGAAGGTAGGAGGTTGCCTTATGATGATTTTTCGGTATAAGTTTCACTGTACTTCCGTCGCATAAACACACAGCACATCTCCAGACTCAGTCTGGGCCCCTTTACTATCCGACAGTCCCCACACAGGCCAACTCCCATTAACTCAGTGGGAGTTTGCTTGTATGAGGACTGTAGGATCACAGTGTCAGTAAAAGGTACCACTTTTAGTGAAAGTTTCTGGTTGTTAGTTTAGGGGGACAGCTCCAAATTTTCCATGCTATAAACTATTATAAACTAGCCACCTGAGATAAAGATAATAGAAATCAGTTCTTCTTGCTTCCAGGTGTAAGTTCATCCCCCAGGAGGCTCAGGAGAGATTCTTCTGTCCTTTGTAAAGTATTGCATTAGTTTGTAAGTGCCATGTGGTTTGCTTTCCTCTGAAGCATCAGATACTGGCAACTGAAAGAGACAAGACACCACATCTGATGGACCAGCAGTCTGATCGTATATGGCATGCCCTTTGTTTCTACAGTTCCATCTCATTATTTTAAAATTAAAGCTCTGTTCACCAAAAAGTAAAACTACAGCCATTGTTACTTCATGATCCTGTAAAAATTTGGTTGTGCTACTGCAATGGGGAACCACCTAGCCACCAGAGGGTGCTATATTTAACTAACAAAGCCATGTGCCAGACACCGCACTGACTTCATTGGTGACATCTTCACTTGTTGGTAGACAAGATAATAACAGAACAAAAACAACGTGAAGCCCTGTTGGCTTGTGCCCCACAAGAAAGAGGAGGTGGGAGGGATAGGGAACAATGTCT